TATACACATTTATATACACAACGGTGCATTGATATACACATTTATACACACAACGGTGCATTGATATACACATTTATATATATATATATATATATACAACAGTGCATTGATATACACATTTATATACACAACGGTGCATTGATATACACATTTATACACACAACGGTGCATTGATATACACATTTATACACACAACGGTGCATTGATATTCACATTTATATACACAACGGTGCATTTATATATACACAACAGTGCATTGATATACACATTTATATATACACATCAGTACATTGATATACACATTTATATATACACACATCAGTACATTGATATACAGTTATATACACACATCAGTACATTGATATACACATTTATACACACAACGGTGCATTGATATTCACATTTATATACACAACGGTGCATTTATATATACACAACAGTGCATTGATATACACATTTATATATATATATACAACAGTGCATTGATATACACATTTATATATATATATATACAAAAAGTGCATTGATATACACATTTATATACACAACGGTGCATTGATATACACATTTATACACACAACGGTGCATTGATATGCACATTTATATACACCACAGTGCATTGATATACACATTTATATACACCACAGTGCATTGATATACACATTTATATATACACATCAGTACATTGATATACACATTTATATATACACACATCAGTACATTGATATACACATTTATATATACACACATCAGTACATTGATATACACATTAGTTCATTGATATTGTAATATTATGTTGAAATCCAGATTTGTTATTTGTATTTATGAATTTAATCATTATTTGATTTAGGACAAAAAGGTTTCATTAACCGAAGAATTCTAGATATCTGTTGTAATTTCTTGTCTCTCTTTTTTTAGATGATATTTCAAGAAACTTGATACCATCTAGTTCAGTCTAATTGAAAGTTTTAAACTTCTGCTTTATTATTTTCAGTATGGAATGAATTAGAAGAATTGAAATTTTTAAAACATTAAAATAATCAAATGTTTCTTGCTAAAGTTTTAATTTATTCAGAATTTCCGATTATTTAATCAGTAAACATTTTAATTACTAAACAATCTTCTATGTGTCACATAACTTTTGAATTACGAAAGTTGTTATATTATTATTAATATCATTAGTTGTATTTTTGAAAGAGTGTAAATATTTTTCAATTAATTGTCGGAAATTGCTGAATTAAATACAATTGAATTAACTGTAATACTGAATTTGAATATGTTTTGTATTTAAATATTTCTGTGTATTACGTTTAAATGTGTTTTATATGTTTGTCCTGTCTATGTGGTTGCGTGTTTGTCCAATCTGTCAGTGGTCACACGGAGTGTGTTGTATTGTTGACGCAGTTGTCATTTTTGTTGTGTCAAAATCTGCCCAAGCCCCACCCTTCCCATGTTTCATGTCACCTTAATGAAATTTTAGGTCTAATTCAGTTATGTTGTAAGTCTGTGTATTTTGGTAACTATATTAGTAAACGTTCCGTATTATTTTCGCTTCACTAAACTGCTTTAAAGTGTCCTGAAAACTTAACATTACTGTATTTATAACATCTTCAAAAACACTTAAAATCTCTGGAAATTGTACACTGGAACTACGCATGCGTGTAGCTAAGTGGTCGTTAAGAAGTATTTATATAATTTCATTCTCAAAATGTAGTTGCAAAGCAAGTCGGTAGGGAAATCTCGCAAATATATAGCAAGTTTTTATCTATTCGTGAAGTTTTAATTTGTTATATGTTTATTTACGTGGTATTGACGAAATATATTGTTTTATATGGTTACCTAGCAACCGTAGTGTGTGTATATGTACGTGTATGTAAATAAGTGAGAATGTGTGTGTATCTGTTTTATTTTATATGACACAGTTTGGTGTGAAATTTTGATGTTTTCGTTAAACGTTACTTCTGTATGTTGTTTGTTTGTTTTCTGTGACATGCATATGGAACTGCCGATAATCAACGCGGTAAAAACATAGGTTGTTCTGTAAACATGTTTTTTTGTGTTGTTTTTTTTTTGCAGTTGTAATTCAGTTTGTGCATAGCTTGTTACCGTCTTTTATATTCGAATACAATGTCGATGTAATATTCCATGCTTGGCTGACATTCGTGCACGCTCGTTTCTTTTTTCTATGACTGCTATGCAAATACGTCAACTCAGATAACCTTGTGCTCAAACTAATAATAAAATGTCAACATCGGACAGGAAATACGTATGATAAAAGTGATGATGCTTTTCACATCAGGACATACGAGTTCTGACGGTCTAGGGATGTTGCTATCGCCATCTATTGAACAAAATATTTATGTACTCAGAAAAAAATTCCAATGTTGATGATGCACGAAAACCTGTCGATTCAATTATTAGAACGGTTTTAAAATTTGAATATTTTAAAACATTTTCAAACAAAAACAATAAGATATTTCATCAACCTCGGCGGTCATGCGACTGTGTTATATTTACTATTTTGACCTCAAGTGTCTTTGTTTAGGAACAAAAGTATTATTTTTAAGGTCACTTGACAGGCGTGCAGGTTCATGCTCAAATGGTAGCAGCTTTCATCTTTCCCCTGAATGTCTGAAATAGCTCAACAATTTTTCCCTCTGCAACAGTAACTAGCAGCGATGGCTCCAATGTTCCATAGTACGCCATGGATGACTACAGTATTCACACGTGGTTAGCTTGTCATGTTTTCGAACAGCTAGCAGTTATTGACCTTATTCGCCGTCGCTGGTCAGCTAGCTAGCTCTGAGCGTTCTCTGCCATCAGTGGTACATTCATTACTATTGCCTCATTTCATCCCTTCACAAACATCTAATCTGAACCCATTTGGCCGAACAACATTCGCTGTTCATCCCTAAAATTACGAAGTTTTCTCAAAGGACTTGTAAAAAAGAATTGGAAGAAAGAAGTGGCAGTGTGATCACCAACTGTTTTGTTAAAGAAAAAAATTCGAACGCCTATTTCTACCCCCCCCCCCAAAAAAACTGTTTAGTGCTTCTAATATTTGAAAAGTAAAATATATTTCTATACATTCAAATTATTATTATTTTTTATGCTTTTCGCTACCGAATGGATCTGGGATCCACTATAAACCCTCAAACTACTGACTTATTTTTATTTAACTTTCACTATTAGTGGGATCCACTGTAAACCCTCAAATTGAAGACACATTTTAAAATAACTTTCACTATTAGTGGGATCCACTGTAAACCCTCAAATTGAAGACAGATTTTTATATAACTTCCACTATTAGTGGGATCCACTGTAAACCCTCAAATTGCAGACACATTTTTATATAACTTTCATACTTAGTGGGATGCACTGTAAACTCTCAAATTGCGGACTTATTTTTATACAACTTTCATTATTAGTGAGATCCACAGTAAACCCTCAAATTGTTGACTTATTTTTATACAACTTTCATTATTAGTGGGATCCACAGTAAACCCTCAAATTGCAGACACATTTTTATATAACTTTCATTATTAGTGGGATCCACAGTAAACCCTCAAATTGCTGACTTATTTTTATACAACTTTCATTATTAGTGGGATCCACTTATTTCATCATATTGAGTAATTTTATATCTTTGGCTTTTACAACATGTAAGATACATGGGAGACTCCAGCAGTAATTAAGTGTACTTATGTTTAAATTTTGTTGTTTGAGACTCGTGTGTTATAAGAGATCCCTGTATCCATTAAAGTCATGGACTCATAAGCAATTTAATTCATACATACGTTTGTAAAACGGACCATCATCGCTGATTCTAGAGCTAAACAGTTTGGAAGCATGTTTAGAACAGATCCAAACTGGAACATCATATACTGGAACACATTGAAAAAAGGCATATTATTCACATAACGTTCTATATTCTCTTCATACAAATCAAACATTTTTTAACCTGGTGAGCCAGCCATGACTTAGTGGTTAGCATGCCGGAGTGCAAATTGAAAGCTCCAAGGTTCGAGACGCGATATGCCGCTAAATACGTTTCGGCTCGCATATATGCCAGGGACGGAACCAGGATTTTTGATAAGGGAGAGGGGGTCACCCTTCCACCAGGTCATGAAACCTGTTAAAATATTTGCTTTCTTTATTAGTCCTAAGGGTACTTTTGTTTAGTTGTCCACAGGTATCTGTAATCCTTCAGTCTCTCCTACCCTGAATCCGCCAGTAGCACAGCGGTATGTCGGCGGACTTACAACGCTTGAATCCGGATTTCGATACCCGTGGTGGGCAGATCACAGATAGCCCATTGTATAGCTTTGTGCTTAATTACAGACAAACTGTACTGTGGTCGGAACTAATTACTAAATTAATCATATTTCTGTATTTTCCCGTTCTATTACTGATAATTGTACTACTTACAACAACAGCGTACTCTATCGTGCAAAATCAGAGGCAGACCAAACGAGTTAGTTCATACAATACATTGAACAGGAACAACTTCTAGAACTGTATAAAATGTATACCAGGAATGTTATTTAGATTAAGATAATGAATATGGTGTAAAGTTATATCTTGTATTTCTAACTGTTTCCCCCCCATACGGTTTCTGTGTCCTTTCCCTTCCCCTAAATCTACCCATCCTCTTGTTTGTATGTGTGCCTACTGTCTGTACTTGTATGGGTGAGTGTTTGCAAATGCGTGTGTGTGTGAGTGTGTATCTGTTCAGTGTCTATATGTTTCAATGTTAATGTTCCTTTGATCATATGCTGACCGTACATTTGTGTCCCTGCTTTCGCTCTGTCTGCGCGGCCCTGCAGTCAATTCTGGAGTGCCTTCGAGAAGAGGTGAGTATGCAAAGCTCTCCATCTGTTTTCCTCTCCTTCCTCCCCAGTCACAGAAGCTTTTTGTTTCTGCTTTCATCACGATTTGCTGGCTCTGCTTGGCTCTGTAGTTTTCTGTGTTATGTTCCACGTAGTCCAATGTACGGTCTGTGCAAAAACGTGCCAGCTCCGTGTCCGACCACGGTATGTGTTTAGGGCTGCAAGCTGTGGAATCTGTTATAAAATTTGAATATCGTAAATATTATATTTATTACAAGCTAGGCGGAGAGGCAATCCTTGTTAAAGGGATGCTGCCGCCTTGAAGGTTATGCTGGATGTTTTGTTTTGTCTGACGAGAAAACCTTACGCAGCCTATTGTGTGTGTGTGTCTTTGTGTTCACTGAATGTCTTAGACATTTGTATAGAATATGATTTAGTTTGAGACTTTTGTTATGTTCATGTGATCATAGCCGATGTAGATGTTCCTTCAATGTTGTTTGTGATAGCTCTGTATACAAACACATCTTAGCGCCTGATGCATGACTGCACCATCGCCCCCTATAGGTCTCAGGTTTAGTTGAATGTTTTGAACAATGTTTCTTTGACTAGCGTCACTATGCTTTTTGCAAAATCGTTTCCCAGTATTAAACTTTCAAATATCTTTTATTTCGAGTAGATTGTTTAGCCTTGATAAAATGCATGCACTCTAAGAGTTCATGAATATACGTTTTAATATTTTTAAATACATATTTTTCATAATTTTAAACGTAAATGAAAATGAATAAACTATAAAATACAAACTTCTACATATTTATTTGAAAAAATTTATATCAAATTTCAATTCAATTGGTTTTTTCTTAATAACAATTAAGTTGTTGGAGTAAAATAACCGAATTTATAAGTTTAATTTTCAGTAATTACTGAGTTCTTGTAATAAACAATCTCAATAATGAACCATATAATTTTATTTCTTAGAAAAAAAAAGAATATACTTAATTTATTTTGAACCTAAATTTTGAACCTGATTTGTTACAAAGATAAAGTTAATATTAAAAATAAACGAAAAATAAAATTATATTGAGTATTCCACGTGCTATCTTTAACAATCCTCGTCTTTAGCCGAGTATCCGTCATCCGTGGCCGAGTGGTCAGTAAACAAGGAGATGGTCTGACCGGAGTTCGAGTCGGTGTTGCTGCCGGTCACCATTTTGGATTTACACTCACGCGTAGAGATGGCTGGTAAGAACTTTCTTATTAACGTAGATATACAACTTCTGTTAA